CCCCGGCGGACCCACCCCGCGTTCGACCCGGCGGTGATGTGACGAATCGGGCGCAACCCCGAAAACGAACCGCCAATGTGCCTCATCGCGAACTATAATTTATAAATATTAAAATATATCAATAAATATATTTATAAATCAATATATATATATATATATATATTTATATTGAGGGGAATGAGTTTCTCCGAGAGGTAAATTTGAGAAAAAAACAGGGGGAGAGGGGGGGGGAGGGGGATTGCCTCGTTCTGCGTTCTATGCAAAAAATGCTTTGGGATGCACGGGAGTGGTGAAAAAAAGGTGAAAAGAAAGGAGCAAAAATAAAACGATTCGGAGGTGTAAAGACTCAACGCGGACCTCGGGCGCGGATTGGGTTTTCGCATGCAAGGAATCCAAACGGCTGATCGCGGAAGTAGAAAGCATGATCATAAAAAGAAGCTATGTGCTAACAGCAAGTAGATAGATTAAAATGATATTGGGCGTAAAAACATTGAAAAAAGATGATTGTGGTTTATAAATATGTGTATAAATTTAACATGAATTAACCCCCAAAAAAATGAATTCATTGTTGACTTTGTCCTCCTTCACTTTTTAACAGATATAAATCAGGTAATTTAATCCCTTTTCGAGGATACTTTATTTTCACTTCTTGCACATGTCAAAGAATGTGTTTTAAAATAAGAAACAAATAGGGCAAACGTCAATTTGATCATTCCACACCTTTCGCTATAAATTAGAAAATTAAAATAAATAATCCGCGCAAAGTTCCTCCTCGGTTCCATCGATATGCCGAACTTTGAGATGGCCCCATTCATTGAGAGAGACTGCCGTCAGCTCCTCCTCGTCTCGCCCACCGGGTAGACGCTTGTGGAGCTTTAGAGTTCGATCCATAACTTTGTCGAATTCCAACGTCACCTTTTGCCGCGTCATCGACGAATCGACGCTGAGTTTGAACAGGTGCACCCAAATCTTTTGCGCAAGCTCCGGCAGCGTAGGCAGCTGAAGGTTAAAATCCTCAGCCAAGCGCTTCAGGGAGGTCGCCTCGCGGCCTGAATCAAAAACCGTGGGGGTGATCTCCACATTAATGCCGATCCCGATGACGTGGTAATTACCGGCGCTCTCGATCAAAGCCCCACCGATTTTTTTGTGATCGTAAATGATGTCGTTTGGCCACTTCACCCCGAGCCGATCCACCGGAAGGCCGGGCAGAAGCTCCAAGATTGCCTTGCGGGCCGCCATACCGCAGAGCATAGGCAGCACAGGTACTAAATCCCTGCTGATGTATTTTGGATCGTTCTGTGGAATGCAAAAGCTGAAGTAAAGGTTGCCTTTCGGGGAAAGCCACTTGCGCCCGGTCGTCCCGCGACCGGCGCATTGCGATTCGGCGACGATGCCAAAAGGTTTGCCGGCGTAGCGCTCAAACTTCTCCTTTACCACCTCCATTGTGGTGGTGACCTCGCCGAGAAATTCGATGCAGGGCTCAATTACGCTCATGTTTGCACTGGATCAATAGAAATAATATTACTAGGTGAATACTTGTTAGTTTGCTTTAATGTATTAATTGATGAGGCACGAAATTAAGAAATGGCATGGGTTGTGTCGCTAAAGGAACTCCATCCCGATGGGAAAAGGGTGCCTTTCTCAAAAAAAAAAAAACATTTGTATACACCTGCACGCATCGATGCTTCGGTCGAGATGGTTCAGTACTACATTAAAATAAGTAATCGAATCAATAATGAGAACACACAGAAAAAAAGCCGTTTATTTTAAGGATGACCAGCCAACCTTACACACTAACTACCTTTCCTTTATTTCTCTCGCTATGGAACCAATTGGCATAATGTAGTTTAACATCTATTATTAACATCGTAAAACCCATGTAGTGATACAAATTAATGAGAGCAGTACTTTCATATTTCATTATAAGTTTATGTGGAGTAAAGAAAATCGGTCTCCTTCCAGTTTACCTACGTTGTGCGAGCGCCCGATGTGTTTAAATATTCACCAAAGTTTCTAGAATATTTATCTACTGTTGAAATTTTTTTTCGCTTGGAATGGATTTTAAGGAGCGCGTCAGTACCGCCTGTTTGTCGCACGACGTTTTTTCATCCCTAGAATTTGAGACCCGTTAGCGCCACTATCCGACCCCGAAGAGGCACCGGCTGCGCTCCCGAAGGGGGAAGTACTGCCGATCGGAGAGACGAAACCCGGCGCGATTGAGGCGGGGGCTGCGGGAGTAAACCCACCGCTTGACCCATGTCCTGTAGTCGTCGCCGCCACCGCGGTGGATCCAAATCGTGGCGCGCCACTCCCGCCTGTGTTAGGGTTGCCGCCAAAAGAAAACGGAGAGGCGGTGCCAAAAGCATTGAGGCCCATGCCGCCCCCAAAACTCGCCGACGACGCCGCGTTCGTCGAGAACGGTGAAGAAGAAGCCGAGGGTGCGGTTGGCCCCCGATTCGTCGTGGGATCCCCCAACCCAAAGGACGGCGCGCTCGCGGACGCGCAGCTCTTGGGGCCCGTCAGTGGCCCCCCGGGGGTGTCACCGG